GTTCATTTTACGGTAGTTGGTGCGTATGAGCAGATGCGTTGTGTGGAACGAATTAAACTTTTATTGTTGTTGTAGTGCGAAGTGGTAGTACATTAAATTTGCATCAGAATGCGATAATTGTTTGATGGCTCGTCTCGTTGCGAGGTTTTTTGGTATTTTGTACTCTTGTTTCATGTTTGTGTGAAATGATATAATATGTATGTTTGTTCTATGTTACTTAGCTGTATTGTTTCCTTTGATGACTTTGTTATGTGTTCTGCATCTTAGTGTTGCTTGTAAGTAGTAAAGATACGGTTATAGACAGTTGTAGTAATAAAAATAATTATAGTATTTTACGATATTATACATAGGTATTTAAAACTACCATAAACTTTAGCCCTAGATTCTTAAGCTTAAGAATTAAACAGATGCATGACTATTAATCTCCAAAGTTCATCTCAAATTAAACAAAACAATAAATAAAATAAAAACAGAGTCAAAAACTTAACCCTACAACACGATAGTAAAATGATACAAAATTACATAGTACGCAACACATCCCTAGGGGTATAAAGGACCGTATGATCGATGGGCGGCGTATACCCGTAACCGGCAAATGGGCCTATGGGACCGACGGCGCTAGGGTTGAAATGGAACATTCTGATAGGGACTTTGAATTATGTAATTGTAATAAAATTGATGATCGTCGGGTTTCCAAAATTGTGTGGGTGTTTTTGAATTGACAAAGAGATGGTGTTAGCAATAGTTAGGTAAGGTAAAGATAATCAAAACACACATCTATTGAACACACGTTGTAGATAGACAGTTTTGGAATATGTTTTAACGTTGATTGTAATTATAAATCTGTCGAGTTTTAAAAATATCTCATACGTATAAGTTTTTAAGATATTTCTAAATAGATAGGCATGTAGTTATACATCTTATGTCAGAATACTGAAACGCTACTCAATTTTAAGTCGTGCTTAAGTATAGTTCTATCTCTACAAATTCTTTGTAAAATGACAGAGATGGCACGATATTTGAGCACGACTCAAAATTGAGTAACGTTTCAGTATTCCGGCATTCATGTAATAAAAAGATAAGCAAAAAGTTTGAATTCACTGAAACAGAAGAACTTTAATCTAAACCTGTTCAGAAACTAATAAATTACAACAATTCCAGAAAACATGACAACTTCACAACACTATTAGCTTCAACTTAAAACTCAAAAACAACTTCAAAACTCTATAATTACGACAAACACAACAATAAAACAAAACAAAGAAACAAACAAAAACGAGCGAAAATGACTCGAACAAAACTGAGTAACACGAGTTAAATGTTACTCAAACAAACAAATGGACTTGCAAAAGTCGGAGTTACTACTATAATTATCGTATTTAAGACATCTCCTTGTACTTTACAACAAAAGATGGTCATAATATCCATTTTGTATAAACTTTACTTTTGATTTACAACTGCTAAACATAGGTTAAAATTCCTTTGTTACTTTGGTACGTCAGTCGTTAAATTTCACATAAAATTGTATGTAAGAAGCTAGGTACGTACTTTGGTTGTCTGTCTTGTTGGTATCCATGGATAATGTGACCAAACTACTCGTAATGTACAAAGTACTCATGTAGACAATCTAGTTTCCTTATAGCATCGAGCATTTCTTTCTTTATTGAAACAAAGAGTTTCCTTATTCTTGAATCGAAGCACTATTTTTATGGATTGTCAGTATGCATTATGTGAACACCATGTTCGACTATAAGATTTTTTATTTTAGTAAGTTTTGTAATTTGTATAATGCGTCAAGCGTGTCTTTGCATTATTCTTACATATGCATACAGTTTGAAATATGTATCGGAGACATTGTAGAACATACTTTTTTAAAAAGAGTAATGAATGTAGTTTCTTGCTCGTTCTTCTCCATTCGAATCTACTTTTTGGAATGAGCACCTAGCTTCACCTAGTTTCACTGACGGACTGACTGACAGACTATTATTTATTTTGTATTTGTTGACGTTTCAAAAGTACCAAACTATGGTTTAATTGAAATAAATGCATTGACTTTGACTTTGACAAATACTCAAACGACGCTCAATTTAAAGTCACGCTTTAGTATAGTTATGTCACTACAAACTTTTTGTAAAATGACAGAGACGGAACGATGATTAAGTACAAAACTAACATTATTTATTTTATTATTTATTTATCTTCATATCACACAGGTAAGTATTTTATAATCTAAGCCCCACAAAACCGTTGCAATGGTGTGACTGCGGGGTCGAGTCGCTAGACATTACAATTAAATGTACTTATATTTAAATGTTATACAGGCGTTGAAACTTATACTTAAATGGAATTTAATTATAAGCCTTTCTGTATTCGGGTGTAAGACTAGCAGTGGTGTTGTTAAATCATTACGTTTTTTTAAGTGGTTAAATTAATGATTTTCTGGATAACTTCATCTCGTGAGTAGAGACAATTCTCTTAGGATTTGTCTAATTAAAAAATTAGCTCATCGTGTGTCTAAACGTGGATCCACGCGGGACACAATATCTTTTCTATTGTGTCTTAAATACGGGCATTCAAGCGGTTAAGGATACTTAAAAAGGTTAGGTTATTTAGGACAGCCGGTTACGAGCACGTCATAAAGTAATCTCCAATTGATCTAAAATCTAGATTCCAAGACAGTATAGTATAGTCATAAAATACATTTTCAATGATTTTCCTCAAGATTTTTCGCATATCAATTATTTTTCTTACTTATAATTGATGACTACATCCTTATATCTATAGAACTAAAGTCTTCAATCAGTTTACATAGAACCATTCTAGACATAGTACACACGGCTACACATCAATCTATACAAAACCAGTTTATCCTGGTGTCGCGTCGCATCATCTTTCCGCACATTTAACGTTTAGTTTATACTGGTTATGTAAAGCTCGATGTGTAGCCGTGTGTATAAGATCTCGCTACACGGTACATAGTCCCCTCATCCACGCACCATTACCTACAACAAAAAGGGTAGTTTCGGATATAAGTAGATTGATTTCTGATGTCAATATATGTGAGGTAATGTAGCGTGTCTGTCGCTGCAAGGGACCCTATAATTGTAGGGACACACACCATTATCTGTGAACTTTTAGTATCTATCATTATTCCCTCACGGTCTCTGGTTGCGGATTTGATGGCGAACTTGTGTTTGTGGTGTAAACGTAATGTGTCATTTTGTATCTGCTTTATGTATGTAAACCAAGCTCTCTGTTCTTTATTTAAATTTGAATTTCCCGCGCATTTAATTCATACGCTATCTGTGGACAGCGAGCCTGTACTGTGATTGTGTGTTAAAAATTTTGGTGAACAAAATTCACTAATTATTGTTAAAATAAGGAAAATATTTAAACAATAGCTTTTAATATTGTTTTTCTTTTTACAGAGAAATAACATAAACAGTTGTTTTAATAATAACTAACATATTACATGTATAAAATATTTATTTACAAAAAATTTCCTAGTACCTATACAAAATCAGATGTAGTTACATTATATGTATAGATTTATTATGATTGGATTAGCATTTCTATTTAGTCTTGGCTATAACAACGGTAAAGTACGTATTTCCTTTCGATTTTCCAATCCGAACATTCAAATAATAACTGCAAAACGAGATAAGAGTCCTATTTCAAGTAAGTAAACCCCAATTATATGAGAAACAATAAAAATATGAAACGTTCAATAGAAAATCGTTCAAAAATCAAAGTTATTACCTTATTCCCTTGTAAACTTTTTATCAGTAATAAACAAAAATGTGATTTATAACTTGTACAGAATTGTAAGGAGCCATAAACCGAACGATTGCATCAATTTCACGGCAATCCGTTATAACTAACATATCGATTGACCAGTTTTACAGTCGCATTCAATTTTAATGGAAATCCTGATAACTTATTGCTTTCGACTATAAAAATATAATCGTATATGTTTCTACCTAATTCTTGGTAATTTTATGTTGTGGAAAATTTTCAGAGGAAATATTGTTTTCACGTTTGCCTTGCGCAACATTCTGCGTTATTGAATCAAATAACGTTTTATCAATAATAATATGAATGTTACCAACACAATACTATTAATGGCGTACATTTCTAAATACCAAAATCCCTTTCGATATCATTAACTTGATTAATTCGACGGTTTTAGCGAAACTGTCACCACAAATAATGATTTGACAAAAGCAAGGCTCTTAAATTGTCTTAAAGGCCTAGTATTTCTTGAAAAGTGGGTGTTACATTGTACAGTGGTATAATGTGCACCTCTGCCTACCCCTTCGAGGATAAAAGGCGTGATGTTATGTTATGTTATGTTATGTTATTTCTTCCATACAATATTCAAGCCAAAATTATTATCAGCAATTACTCTTTATTGTGTGACTCATTCAATAAACACTGTAGACAAAGCCAAATGTAACCCAATTCCTAACCTAAATAAGCGTAATATACAACCTTAAATCCATTTTTGGCAGAATAACAGATATACAGACTCTATGCATTAGTTACAATATCTCAAAAGCTACTGGCTGGATACAACATGAATACATTTCGCAAGCCATTAACCATGTGACAAATTGTCTTGCAAAATGGCTGCCGACGTTTTTTGGGCGGGAAATCTGTTGTTGGCGCGCAGAAAAATTCGACAACGGATTTTTCTTTCAATAGCTTGTGATATATGATTGGAGGGGTCGCATTGAATAGTTTTTTATTAGCTAGTTCCTTTAATCCTTTATTGTTGTTCGTCGACCATGAAATTATTATGATTTGTGTTTTCTATTTTTTATCGCTACTGTAACGCATTTTTAAAAATACAATTACGTATTTATTTAGAATTGCATTTAATTGAGCAAAATGTTCGTTCATCATGATGAAAATTAATTTAATGATGAATAGTGTTTAGGTACCATAAAAATAATTGGTTGAATTACATTAATAGTAATAAAAATTTTCTTTGTCTACAGGTTAAAGTTTGGTTCCAAAATAGAAGAACGAAACACAAACGAATGCAACAAGAAGAGGAGGCGAAGACGGGAGGCAAGTCAGGTTCCTCGAACATGAAGCCAGACGATGGCAGTCAGCTCAACAACTCCTACGAGGATGATGACGAGGAACTTATCGATATGGACATGGACGAACTCAGTGAAAGTGAAAATGAAACGTAAGACAGTGGACTAAGTGATAAAATTGTGTAAATATTAATGTAATCTAGATGTTTAGAGTATAGTTTTATTTATTTATGATTTTTAAGAGATTCTAGCACTGGCGATGTTGGTGATGTCTGTACCTTTGTCTCAACCTACACTGACTCCAATCACGCTTTGAATTCACCAGAATCAAATGAATTATGTACACATTTTATCGTGATTAGTACAAGCCATGCTTTACAAATCAGGCCCGATATTGTCATTAATAATCTTAATTTCAATAATTAATTTTGGCACTTGGCATGTCGCAATCAAATTTGCAGGTTTTAATTAAAATTTATTTGATTACCAAGGCTCGTTTATCAACACACAACATGATCAATCTTCAAAAAGTGGGCGTTGTTTGGTGTTTGCAATAATTTATATCAATTCTAAAGCCATTATTGTGGCCATATCATTAAATCAACTTTATAAAACGGTTTCAAAATGGCTTCCCGAGTCTTGTTAGCGTCACGGCTTATTAGATAACAAAATTGGCCGTATTATAATAGTTTTCGGGGTTTAAATTAATTAAAAATGGCTCTTTTTTGATGTTCATCCAGTGATGTGGGTATAATTAGACATTTTAGATTTGAAACGTTGATAGGCAGGGTATGTGGTTTCTCAACGAGCGCTGTCAACGAGGAGAAGGATAACAATACGAGAGTTATGGGTGTTAGAGTGAGATAGGTGTAATATAGAGATGAAGGCGATTATGGGTGCGTTCAGGGCCCTATTATTAAGAGGTGCGTTCGAAAACTATCGCGTTCTCGAATCGCGTTTCGTAATTGCTCGCGACGTAACCAAATTGTTTCTCGACTCGTTGACGAATGTTCTCAGCCACTATTTGTCTACGCGTTAGGAATTTACGATAGAGATCTTTATATTGTTGATGATTTCTTTGACGCGTTGCCTAACTGTTTAGTTTGACTAACGACGTGTCTCGACTTTGTTTTAATGTGTCACTTGTTTTTTATTTCTTTTCAACTCTGAGCTTGAATTTTTATGGCCATTATCAATTGTGAAGTCCACTTTATTGCGAGGTGGATGTTTTGAATTCTTTTGATACCGAAAATAATGAATTCGCACTAATCGTGCGTTCGCTATTTTATGGCGGATTATAGGTAAACGCTAAAAACTTTACGGTCAATTAATCGATTAGCAACTTAGATTATGCTTAATTAAACTTAGTAAGTACTAGCTAGGAAAAACTATGAGTGGATTCTCTCGACGTTTTTGAGCAAAACGAAGCTTTGGACAGAAATGTACAGATCGATTCTCATTGTATTGTTTACTATGTTACTTCATAGGCTGTGGCCTTAAAACCCGAGTTTAAACGAGCGATTATAAGGCTAATTTGTATTTTCCTTTCCGTCTTTTGTTCATATGATTTACGATTACGAGTATCGAGTTCTCGCCGAATCGATTTACCGAGTGAATCGATTTTAAAACAAACTATTTTGTTTTTGTTCAGTAACCGTGAGGTTATGCCATGTTGTTACAAAATGTAGTTTTTAAAAACATGCTCGGGTAATATATTTTTAATTGCTTGATATTGTATTGTGGAAATTGGTTTCGATTAAAGATAGAGCTTTTGATTTTACGTTATACTACACAGATTCAACTGGTAAAGGGTTCACAAATAAAGATTGAGAAATAAATTCTCTTTGGCAATTCGAATTCTTTAGTCTAATAAAAAACAAAAATCGATCCTTGGAATGCGCTAACTACCTCACTGCGCTATTAAAAAAAATCCGAGGCAAAGAACCAAAGCGTTTGGCTCCACGCCATTCGTAATTTGAAATCTAGATTCCATTTTCAGCTCAATTAACTCTTAGTCGATTTTAATTATCGATTTTATTCATTAAGTGTTTGCGATTAGCGGGCATGTCGATATTTTACGATGTATTCTTTCGTAAAAGTTCGTTTTTAATTACATTTCCATTCATTGCTTTTAATTCGCTGATTATGTGACATTATAAGGTTTATTGGAGTCATTGGATGTTGAGATAAGGCTGTACCTTTTTCGAATTGACTTAGACAAGAGAATTTTGAGTGATACCGGTGATTTTTGACTTATGGTTGTAGAAAACCGGACCGATTTTAACGAATGATCATCAAAAATATAGTCAAACTAACCTTGTCTCAATAATTATGTACTTATTTTAAGTTAAAGAATTTAATAGTTTATTATTTATGTTACGTTCGGATTTTTTGACTGTTTTGTTGAAATCGGTCCTGTCTACTTACATTTATAGCTCAAAATTGAGTAGCAATACACATGAAAGTAATTTTGCGTACAATATAAAGTTAACGATTCGCTCAAATATAGTAGTTTTATTAAGCCAGTTCCTTTAGAGTAATATGTTATGTGAATAAAAATATCTAACAACTCTATGCAGTATTATAATAATTCTACACCCTGACGATGGTTTTCGACTGAGTGACGTGGACGTCAGTTTGTAAACTCGTGTGACGTCAGAATGTAAAGCGTTATTAGAGATTAAAAATTAAATGTTGATAATAAATAGAATGTCTAAATATTTATTCTGATTTTATTTTCTTAATGTTTTAGATTTGGTGTTCAGTAAAATGGAACGATTTGTCAAAATATGTTTACTTTTATTTAACAGACTTTGATGAGTCTGTTTTGAACCTACTTGATCTACTTATCTATGAGAGATTGTAATTTTAAATACATTGAAAATTTAAACCAGTGATGTTAAAATTAAATACATTTTTAACAAGAAAACTACTTAAAGAAGGTACTTACTTTAATAGTTCACCCAGTTCTGAAGGCATATGTATGCGTGTATGCCTACAGGCTACACTTTAAACGAAGTCTTCAATAAAGACCGATGAACGAAATCGCTTCAGGCTCTTCATTCATTCAGTCTTTTCGTTCATTCACACGTTGACAGATACGTGACAACTGATTATCGATAATTTAACGTTTGTATTTACGGAGTATAGTATGAAAAGAATACAGAAAATGTATATAAAACTATTTATTTCTTATTATGTACTTATTAAGGGACTTATGTTTAAGATTGGGTACCTGTAATTCTGAGAATTTTGTTTTAAAAATTGTATTATTTTGTAGACGTCATCTCACTGTTGTACTGGTTGACTATTCTCAGATTTTATTTAAGCAATAAATTGAGTTTTATAAAATCCAACTACGTTTAGAATTTCATTCAATTGTTAATGGTATTTCTGTAGAACAACAATTGTTTTTAATGTTCTGTATTTGGCGCTAGTGTGCCATAAGGTCTTACAGGTCCGAATTGTGTTAGCTGTCAAAACTTAACTGTCTAAAGACTCAAAATCTATAAATTTTCAATGGGACATTAGACCTTATGCCACAGCTTTAAACAACTTACTCCTGTTGATTGAATTTATTATTCAGTACTATTAGAAGCCCAATCTTTACAATATTGTAAATGTTTCTGATATTAAAAATGTTCCTTCTCCTATATAATGCCACAAAAACAGTTTTGTAAATAAATTAACTAACAAACAATCTTTTAGGATAGTTGTACATTATTTTTATTTAATAAAAAACATAGTAAAGTTGTACATATGTGTGTTTAGATGTAAAAGAATACGGTATAAGTGTATTTGTGTGTATATCAAGTCTTTTATGACTCTACCTACCCCATAATGTTTCGTTCCGACTCATTGCGAAAATGTAGTAACTTAAAATCAACGAGTGATATATAAAATATATGTTTTTACTCATTTAATTTTTGTTGTTTCCTTTATCATTGTTATTGTTTTACCCATTATTAACCTACATAATTAAATAACAGAAAGTTTAACCATAGAGGAAAGGAAGGAGGCTTTTTTTTAAGGGGGGAATATCATCGAATGACTACTCCCGCCTGCGTGAGGCGGGAGGGAGTGTCCGTCTCTTACTGACTAAAAACCACACCGTTCCTTCTCCTGCACGTCGAGCCGGAGCCCCGGTAACCCGTTAGGTTCTCCGACGAAGGAAGGAGGCTTGGAAAGGCCTTTGCAAGGCAGCGGGATGATCACAGCTGAAAATTAAATAATTAACTGAAATATTGAATATGAATGAAATTCATACAAAATATGTGAGTCGCTAGTTCACCAATGGTGGGTGTCACCTATTTATAATAATTATATCGTGAGACTTGGTGAATTAATTAAAAATTACGAGTTACTCTCGTAATTAAACTGAGAAAAGCTCTACTAGTTTCGAGTCACAGAGGGACTCTTCCTAATGAGCAGCATGTCAGATAGTAAGTGACACCCACAACACCAGAGGAGTTGTAATGGGGTGTTCGAGTTTTAAGGACTTCGGTCACCTCACTCATATATTGAAATAAAACGCAAATTTAATTTCACGTTGGTTTTCTGTGAGATTTTTGTATTTGGTATAAAATGCAAAAAATGGATTTAATATAAATTGCAAAATATATCCTACTGATATATGCTGATCTTATAACTGCTTGAGATCCAGAGTCCTATTTAACGGTAGATAAATTTTTTTTATGGCATAAGCCGGTAAACGAGCAGACGAATCACCTGATGGTAAGCAATTGGCGTCGCCCATGGACACCTGGAACACCAGAGGCGTTACCGGCCTTTTGTGGATTAGCAGTTTGAGGATCGTTGGGGATCTGAATCCCCAATCTCCCAATTACTGATAATTAGGAGATTGGGGAAGGGGAGGGTAATAAGGTCTCAATTAGGAATTATAAATCCAATATATTCAGTGATACAACAGAATATTCCATTATTAATCTATGTTCAACAATGAAGTCTCCTCCAAATAGACAGGAAGATCGATTAAAAAATATAAGTTATAAAACTAAAACCCGATTTAAAAAAAACACGCTCTAAAATGTATCAAATAGCCAGGAAAGTTTTTTAAAGGACATTGGTATACAGTACATAATGGCGTACGGCCACGGCTATCCTCTAAGGAAGTTTTGGCTTCGCCGTAGTCGGGTAAAAATATGTAAACTATACAATATGTAAACTATACATATAATACACATTACTAAATAATATTATGTACATAACTATCTACCTACATAACTATACATAAGTCAACTATCTAATTAGTACTTTGATAAAATGTCTGTTGCTTAATCTAGTCGTACGAACGCATTAGACATAATTACTAAGTTCTAACGTTAATGCTAGATATTTAGCTTAATCTAGACTAGACTGACAGGTGACCTAGCTAGACTTATTAAGGAAAAATCTAGATTTTATGATCATAGACTTAAATTGACTGCCGCGTTTATTGAGTACGAAAGTTTGACTGCAAAGCGAGGGGTTTCAGGTTGGATTCCCGGATTTAATTTGAAATAAATGAATAAATATCCTTTATTAGGTATTGCAACTTATAATACATTGGGTGATTGGGTAAGGTATTGTGTATTTTGCGGAGTTTCAAAGATTTTTCAGTAATGACATTGAGTTTAAAATTGTCCCCGGTTTATGGCCTTAAGTCACATGGGACTCATAACATAAATAGTGAAAAGTGGGGGAAGTTTTTTATGGGATAAGCCGGTAAACGAGCAGACGGATCATCTCATGGTAAGCAATCAGGCGCCGTCCATGAACACTCGGAACACAGACAGAGCCTTTTGGAGATTAGGAATTAGAGGATTGTTGGGAATTCAGGAATGGAGGGGGGGGGGGGTTAGTAATTGGGCCTCCGATAATGTCACTCGCACGACAAAACATAAAGCAAGTGTTGTTTCACCTCTGTTTTCTGTGAGGCCGTGGTATCACTCCGGTCGAGCCGGAAGACACACATTGTGATATTATTTGCACTTCTTATTTTTGGCAACAAATCGCACCACATTATAAAATATAATTAGACTTAAATAAATAAATAAATAGCTCTCCTATAAGTGGCTATAGCTAAACGGTTACAGTAAGCTAAAAGGTCATGAGTTCAAGTCTCTTGCTTATTACGCGTCCATTTGCGTCAGATTAAAATAAGAGTTAGGTATAATTAGGTAAGCTGAATTAGTGTGCAGTCTAGATTTTAATTAAGTAATTATTAGATACGTAAGTGTGTATACTGAAGTAACGTATGCATAATGTAACTCGTCTATCTATCTATCACTTCAGGTTAAAGAGAGGTATAATGTATTCTTTATTAATTCTCGTCGACTGACCTAGGTGGAAAACGTAGCGGGCGAAACATGCCATTCAATTAAATTAACAAACGAAATAAACAAAAGAGGACACACTTAAAATTTAAATATTTAATACAGTACCAGTGGCACTGGTATCATAAAGAAATTGGCGAACGACCACACAAATAGAAGTGACGTCACGCGTCGATATGATGACAACACTAGCGTCGCGCGATGAATGCCGAGTAGGGACGTGACACGCCTACCTAATCAACTTATCGATGTTGGAATATTTTTCGGTAAAACTTTTTTATTATCTTTTTGAACTTTTGCCTGTGATGTGACATTTACGTTTAGAGTTATCAGATTGGATTTTATGTCGAAATCGATCGTGATGGGATTGTCGAGTGTCAGTTGAGGAAAAGTTTTGAGGTCTTCTTCAAGGCGGATAAATATCGCCTACATGGTAGTCAGCAGTGGTTATTTTATTGGCGAACGTGGTGATTGTTATCGTGATTGTAACGTGTTGTTTTTGAAAGGAAAAGTGATGTGATTAATACATTTTTGGAATATACATTTTTTTAAACAGTTTCTGTGTGAAAAAAAAAATATCTACCTGCTTAACTGAAGTTAGTATTATAAAGTGGTCGTATGTGCGTATCGACCACAAAGTTTTGGATTTCCCTTATGTGTGGAGGAATCTGGAATTAAATTGTGGATGTGACAGAAGTCTCGTCTGGTACTATGCTACTAAGACACGTCTAACACTTTGCCTTGTAAGGTAGTCATACCATTACCAAAAAGATCCGATATTAGGCGCTCATTCAATCAAAATAAGTTCTCTTTCGTTTCAAAATACTTCTTGGAACTGCGCTATTATTACACATTTGGAATACGTATATAATTATATAACTATTGGTGAAAGTCAGCCCTACAATTATTAATCATGCATTGATATTAACTCATTAAATCAGCTTTCTACTAAGGGTCGTACTGATCAAGTGGAACAATAAATTATGCTTAAAATACACCTATGTTATATATTTTTATTCACATCTTGATTCCCCTTAATTCTTTCCATCATTGTACCACAAGACAATCCGCGAAGCGTCACCGATCATGGTAGATGTCCCACCCATACGCACTAAGCGCTTCGCATCAAGCTTTCTTGTACGTACTCCTAAGGAGTGGAATTATTTGCCCAAGTCTGCATTTCCTGAAAGGTATATAAAACCTGGGTATAACCTGGGTATCTTCAAGGTCCGAGTGAATACGTTGCTTATAGGACGACGTGCTCAATCATAGACCGCATCATCGCTTACCACCAGGCGAGATAGTGGTCAAATTTTGAGGCATTAATTATAAAAAAAAAACAAATAAAAAGTACATAGCCCTTTTAATTCGATAAAACTAAAACTCGGTCAATCAACAACAATGTGAATCTTCAACAATATCGATAAATTTCTGAAACAAATA